TGTGTGTGTGCGTGGGCGGGGGGGGGGGGGGGGGGGGGGCGGGGGGGGGGTGGGGGGGGGGGTGTGGACAACTCCTTGACCAAGTAGACCATAAACTACCTCACCAACAGGCCACAGTAAATGAGACCGGGTTAGATGAGGTTGTTTCTTTTCAACCCTGGACACCTCAGACTTCACCTACAACTCGGACTCTTGTTCGTCTCCGGGAGTTCTCTGACAACTCGGCCATTGTATCAGAGAACAATGATCTGGAGTATACACCTCAATGACAAACTGGACTGGCCAACACACACAGGTGTCCTGTACAGAAAGGACCAAAGTCGTCTCCACATGCTGATGGGAACCGAGTGTGCAGGACTCTGCTGAAAACATTCTATGACACTGGTGACTTCTGCCTATGGCGTTGTCTTGTGGGCGGGCGGATGTTCGGAGAGGGAAAGGAACTGTCTGGTGTCAGACTGGTGTGAAGAGCCAGCTCAGTCCTGGAGAGAAGGATTTTAGCAGAGCTAAATCTCATCATGGACAACTCGGTCTTGTATTACAGGTTTGTTAGTGCAATATATTCTGCTCATGTAAATAACATGTTCAATAACTGTCAAATGGTCATACATCGTATTCTAATTATTCTGCACTTTACATCTTTTCTTTAGGATTTAGTCGTTTTTTTCCTCCCCTTGATCTAGTTGTTGTGTTTTAATATGTAACTTTCTTTTGTACAGTCTCGCCTCTGTCTCCTATGCTGCTGCAATGCAATAATTCAAAAATAACAGTTCAACCTTAACTTAAACCTTAACCTTAATCAAGGTAATAAAAACAAACTGGGCCAAATTTGGAAAACTACAGAGGGGGCACTTAACTTAGTGGTTAAGGAAGCAGACTTGGGTCTGGAAGGCTACTCCTCATTTCACAGTACAGTTAAAAGTCAGTACAGTTAAAAGTCAGTATGGACATTCACTGGAAAATAACTGTCACAAGTCAAACCAGAAGTGATGCTGTTAAAACCGTAGCCTCCAAAGACATGTCAAGACACGCTCCCTCCACATGTACGAACCCTTTGACCCGGTGTCATGGGTCAACACACAAACACACAGGACTGTAATCCCCTGGTGTTCTGAACTCACTGAGTCTGCTTTCCAGTATCAGGAATGAGCAATAGCTTACGAATTACATCTATTCAAGTTGCTGCAATTTGAGTCGGTTTTGTGAGTAATTTGTAACTTTTAAGCAGTTTCGGGAATAGGTCATTTTACTTTTACTGAAGTACATTTTCACTTAAGTATTTTACTTTGCTACATTTAAAAAGAACCTGGAAATGTAGCCAGATAACGTTGAATATAAGACAGGCTCTATCCTGTCGTTGGATGATGGCTGGTGCCAAACAATAAATGGTGGTTGAGGATTGCCAAGCAGAGTGCTCCCTGGAGCAGATGACTCAGAAAGAGAAGGAAATCTTTGGCCAGAGCTCAGCCAGCTCTTTGTTTTCAAATGTTTTCAAAAGGCAAAAATGTTTTCAAAAGGCAAAAACGCTATCGTGCAGTACAAAATGTGCCTGCTCGAGCGGATAGAGCTGTTGATGTCGAAACTTCCTCATCAAACATGGGATAGCATGTGACAGTAAGTGAAAGTGGGACAAGATAATCTTAGATTTTCCATAATTTTATGAAGGCCCAGTTCATGTCCATGTTTACATCCAGTTGAGGCCAGATTTTGAGCCAGCAGAAAGTTAGATCAGATTTTATTCGTCCTCTGACATTGACTTTGAAATAGTAACAAACAAGACAAGAGGAGTGGACTCACAGGGAATTGTGGACACTGAGTTTTGGGCTCAGTCAAGACTCAAGAAGAATCCAGAATCAAGAAATCTTATTATTTCCACTAGTACCAAACAATGTAAAAAAGGAGTAAATTAAATGAAATGACATTGAACCCATAATTAATTGATTATCTCCTCTCTCTCTCTCTCTCTCTCTCTCTATATATATATATATATATATATACTTGTTCACATAACAAACCTACCTACCTACCTACCTACCTACCTACCTACCTACCTACCTACCTACCTACCTACCTACCTATCTATCTATCTATCTATCTACCTACCTATCTATCTATCTATCTATCTATCTATCTTTCTGTCTGTCTGTGTGCCTGCCTATCAATCCATGTGGATCACGGATCTGTTAGACTGGTCTTACATAATCAGATTCATGTTATACTTCATTTCAGCAGCATAGAACAGACCTGGAGGAGTAGGTGTGGGCCATAACTGTGTCAAAGGTCAAGTGGTTTACTGAGAGCTTGTAAGAACCTGCTGTTGGACTGAACCCACTGAATGAAAGAGCCTTTTTAAATATACAAACATTTCCTGGTACCATGCGATGGGCAGTCAGGACCAGCATGACTCAGGAAATATGTATAAGGACAATGACTCAGCAAAAACTTTGTCTGAAACAAACTACACTGCTCTAAAGAATATTTTTGACCCGTAGTCCCAACCAAGGTCAAGGGTCAGTACCTTATCCCAGCACCCTTCACCCTAAAGCATGGTCTAAAGATGATACAACAGTTAAGCGGCTAGAATTATCGGTGCGTCCTTACATCATCGTGAGTCTGTCTTGTTTGAATATCCCTTCAGTTCCAGAGGAGGAATGCTCTGTTTTCACTACGGCCTTTGTGTGGCTTTAATCTCTTCATCCTCAGCTGTGATCTCTGCCAGTGAAAGCTGATCCCAGTGACGCTCACACCTAGACACAGGCTGCTTCCTAAACAGGACTACACTGTGACTCACAGGCTGGTGCTCACTGTCCCAGAGGCATCTTCATTAAGGGTCGCTCCAACTCCAGCTCAAACTCCACTGATGCCTGTTGTATTATGTCAGATGAACTCTGACATAATGTAGAGTAAAGTTCAACTTGCAACTTCTGCATTGCCATTTAGTTACACCAAGTCAGTTTTAGTAGTTCAGCCCAAAGTCTCAAAAGAGGGGGAGGGGAAGCAGAGTAGAGGAAAGACAGAGTAAAAGTTGACATAAAACACTATAGTATACAGCAGGGGTGGCAAACTGTTCTACAAAGGGCCACTGTGGCTGCAGGTTTTGGTTCCAACCTATCCAGAGCACAGCGACTGACCAATCAGCTTTCTGGAGATTCAGATCAGTTGATTAAAAGAGCCAAGTGCTGCTGCTTGGTTGGAACAAAAACCTGCAGCCACACCGGTCCTTTCTGGAACAATTTGCCACCCCTGGTATTTACAGCATAGTCAAGGCGTTACAGTCTAAACAGTACAGGTGTAGGAATAACTATCATGATTATGATTAATTTTCAATGGTAAAGTAGTTCTTCTGAGTTAGAGAGGACTAGTTATGAATAATAAACGTATAGAAATGCAGGGGGTATTAGTATTCTGACAAAAACTCTTTATAAAAAAAACTGTTGTATAAGACTTTTTTGGCGCCTCCTGAACTCCTTTTGCCTCCTCCCATCTTAGCCGTTATACAAAAGTTCCACATTCGGCCTTTTCCGCCATTCAGCTTCGGTCGGACGATCTTTGTCTGTGACGTCAGTGCGCTGTGGTGGGTAAGCGAGGAGGAAGAGGCAGTCGCGCCGGCAGCCTCTAGGCCTCTGATTGGCTGCGGCCTTTGACGATGGTATAAAAGCTGTATATGCGCGTGCGGCCGCGGTATGAAAGGTCCGAGTCCTGTTACACATGTATAGAAGAAGACGAACTAAGCGGAACGAATGACAGAGGGTTTGCAGAAAAACAGGAAGGACAAAGTTGGAAAACACACGGGCGAAGAAGAAAAAGAATCAGTTTTCATTCATGTCGGAGTCTGAGCCGCCATTTCTGGAATGTGAGTAAAAAGCTTAATTTCCTCTAAACAAAGCGACGCCTTTATCAACAACCACAGACACACGCATCTCCATTTGTCCTTCTTTTAGTGGTTTGTTAAAATGTGATCAAATCTTTATTTTCTGTGGTTCTTCAGTCAATGTGCAGAAGCTGACGTAACTGACGTGTCTGACGCCGTGGGTCGGTCGGCCGGTGGGTGGGCTCTCGTTCGTGTCAGTAGGATTCCCGACACATTCTCATAAAAGCAGAGCTGCAGAGCTGGCCTAACATATTAGAAACAACATCTTCACTCGCGTGTAAAACACGCATTTGACTTAGTTTGATGGGGTTTCGTTAGCATGTTTTTAAAAGAAGTGGAAGACGGTGCACGACCTCCAGACATGACAAAAAGAAGATTCGAGCAGTTTGTTCTGTAAGTGTAGAGCCCGTTAAAACAGTTAACCAGGTTCTCAGGGTGTCATTTCACAGAAGAAGACACAAACTGAGCAAAGGGACACAGGTGGACCAGCATCACCAGTATCTCTGCGCTAAAATAACGTACTTTCACTGTGGAGTTTGTGTGAGGCAGGTTATGCCTATCTGCGCGTGCCTGTGTGCGCGTGTCTGGCAGAATCTGCTGATCCACTGTATTAAAAACCTCTGTCTAACGGTTAAACAGAGCTCTGAACTCTGTACATCCCTGGCCAGTTAATTAAAACCCCATTAACTGTGGGCCACTGCAGGTGGCAGATGAACCGAGTCGTCTCTAGGGTAACGTTAGGTCGTCGTCAGCAGCGTAGCCATAGGGTTCTCTATGGTGGAGGCTGAACGTCAGGCTGCATTTCAAGTGGACATGGCTTCTGCTTTGTTTCTCCATTCTCAGCCGTGAAGAGAAGAATGTGTGTATGTGTTTGTGGCCAGCTTCTGCTCTACTCCACTTTTCCAGTTATCTTCTTTTCTATCCTGCACATGTCTCGCTCCAGCTCTGTGTCACCATGACTCTGCAGATTTGTGAATGTTCTTGGCTCTGTGCCCTCCTTTATGTAGATAGAGCTGCAGCAGAGTCCCTTATTCACTCCCTTAGAATGGCATTCCTTTTTTCGTCCCACAATGAGGATATTTATAGCAGAGTATGGCTACCAAGGGGGGTGCCATAAGGGATATGTGGTTCCACTGGGAGTCAAACCTAGGATGTCCTGCTATTTTTTATTTATATTTATATATATATTTATTTTTTGCAAGGCAGGTGTGCCAACAGCTACGCTATGGAACCACATTTTTGTGGAGTTATGTGGAGCTGTGTAGGAATGCTGTGTGACTGTGACTGTTGTTGGTTCTTCTCTTCACCTACTGACCGGTCATCAGTTGCAGCAGCGGCGGCCTCCTTCATCTAGGCTGAATTAGCCCTTAACAGGGTTAACCTGAACAGGCTGAACACTGCCCACAGAGAAACCTGTATAAGGGCTGTGACTGGGCCGTTAAGCAGCCTGTCTTACCGCAGTCACAGCTGACAGGAAGTCAAGACCCCTTTTGGCTCTAAAGTCTGGTGTGACTGATCAGACAGTTCTGCTGTGAACCTGTGAAGGTGGTTTCACTGGAGGACCATGAGAACCCTAAAAAGGAGGTTTCACACCGATCCTGTCGTTTTAATGAACCGTCTGTAAACAACAACAACAACAACAAAGAACCAAGTGCTGTAACCACAGGATTAACATTTTTATCATAGCAACAAGGGATGCTGATTCACTGGAAGATGGTTCAGGTCAGGGGTGGGTAAAAATATTGATGCACCAATGCCAACATGACAACTTAGAATGTTGGATGCTGTTCCTGGCTACAACATGAGGTGCCTGCCTTCATATTTAATACCATCATAATATCCTTTTATCATATTATATATCATCTTTATATCATATTTAGCCTAAATTCTTATAGGCCTCCGAAGTTTGCATACCCAGTTCAGCTGTAATTTTGATGGGCTATCACTGTGAAAATTAACTGAGGAAAATAAAAAAAAAAACCTCAATAAACATAATGGTTGGGATACACAGACAAAAGCACAGTAAGTATAGTGGTGGTAAGTATGTTATACTTACCACCACATGCTATTGCACGTTTGATGTGGAATTCTTTTGACAGCGACAGTTCTGTCTGCCAGGGCAGGCACATTTGGCACTGCACAAAAAAGTTATTGTGTTGTTTGCATTTGAAAACAAAGAGCTGGCTGAGATATGGCCAAGGATTTCCTTCTCTTTCTGATTCATCCGCTCCACGGAAGCACTCTGCTTGGCAATCCTCAAGCTCCATTTTTGTTCGGCACCAGCCATCATCAACAGGCTACAGCCTGTCTCTTATTCAGCGTTATCTGGCTACATTAACATAGTGGGAAATCTGCAGACCAGGCAATTGTCTTTTAGTTAACGCAGATTGTTTTTCACTGCATATAATTTTTTTTTACTGAGTAAAATGTCAGTCAAAATGTACTTGAGTAAAAGTAAAATGACCTACAACCAGAAACTAATTAAAAAATTATAAATTACTCAGAAAAGCTACTCAATTACAGTAACGTGAGTAAATGTAATTTGATACCTTCGACCTCTGTGTTTATGGTTGTCTGCCTAACATGTTGTCTTAATGCCTCCCCAAAATATAGAGTACTCTCCACCACAATGTCTAGGGCAAATGGGGGTGCTGTCATGCACTATTATTATTGGGCTGATGCTTTATTTTCTGTTGTTTTATTGCTAAAAAATGCTATGAGTTATACCATGGCTGTTCATATGGGTGTGGAACTAAATTAATAATTGTTTTTACTAAATTATTTGGTACTGTAACTTGAATTAGTTATCTAGTCCTACTTCATACTGAATCAATACCGAAGCATTTGGATCAATATCGGATTGAATCCATATTATGACCTAAAAAAAAATCGAATTGTGAGATTCTTAACAATACGCACTCAGCCACAGACTGGAGCTGAATGACAGTAATAATGTGTTTATAATCATAAATATCAAAGACCAGAATAAAAACTAAATGTTACTGTAAACACTTTAGTTTCACCGTCCAGTCTGCAGTGTGTTTCATGTTCCAGCAGGGGCAGAGTTCCCTGATAATGTGATTGTTATCGGTGACTGTACTTTTTGTTTCCTTGTAGTTCAAATGGATCTCAACGATAAGGACGTTCCTGAAGAGGTTTTACCTGTGGTGATCATTGGTAAGAATTACACACACTTACACACAAACCCACTTACAGTGTAGCCACAGCTGTTCCTGGTACTGTCCTGAGTTCCAGGTACTTTTTCCACATTTTTTTAACACATTTCTCTGTGTTTTCTAGGTAACGGTCCTTCAGGGATATGTTTATCGTACCTGTTGTCAGGGTACACCCCCTATCCGTCACCTGAGGCATCACACCCTAATCCATTGCTGCACAGGAAGCTAGCAGAAAAGCCGCAGCTGTCATTGCTGGAGCAGGTGACAACCGTTATTGATTGGTCTGTTGGTTGATTGTATTGTTAATTGATTGGTGGGTTTGTTTGTTGGCTGACTGATTGCGTTGTTCATTGATTGCAGATTTATTTTTTTTTTTAGCAGAAGGCTTCTGTATTATTTATTATTTAAACAGGACGTTTTTCTTCAATTCTCAGTTACGAGGACATAGTGTTTTTGGAGCTCAGAATTGTCGTCTATAGCCTCAGTTTCACTAAGTCTCTGGTCTTTTCTTCCAGGATCTGGACTATCTGTGCGAGGGTCTAGAAGGCAGATCGTCCAACCCTGTAGCTGTGCTCTTTGATTCTCTGCTGCTCCCTGACAGTGATTTTGGCCTGGACCATAGCTCTCCTCTGGAGTGGAGATATGAGCCAGAGAGGTCCATCCCACACCTGGTCCTGGGGAAGGGTCCCCCTGGAGGAGCCTGGCATGTAAGGAACCATTATGTAGCAATGGGAACTAGAGGTGGAGGAGCCTGGCATGTAAGGAACCATGATGTAGCAATGGGAACTAGAACTAGAGATGAACACCTTCTGGGTTCCACCTGAAGATGTTCTTTGGACTTCCAATAATACAGCCTTTGAGCTTAAAGTCAAACATCTTTAAAATGTTAAATGTTTATTTTTGGTCTTTACACCAGGTTTTTCCAGTCTGTCGTGTGATCACTCATTTCTTTCATTTAGTGTCCAGGAGCCATCTTTTATCTCTCACTGCTGTGGCTGACCACATCCATCTCACAGTGTGACTGTGTTCTGGTTCTAGGCCATGGAGGGGTCCATGCTCACCCTTAGTCTGGCCAACTGGATGGAGCTGCCTGGACTCAAACTGAAGGAGTGGATGAGAGACAAACGCAGGTCTGTGCACCATGTCAAACCCAGGTGTAGGTGATGGAGCGCTGCGGGTGGCGAACTGATGTGCTCAGGTGTGGAACCCACCTTGAGGCATCCTCCACTGGAAAAACAAATACTTTAAACAGTTCTCGGGTTAATGGCTTTAGATTGTGTGTGTGTGTGTGTGTGTGTGTGTGTGTGTGTGCTCCCAGGGTGACGGTTCTGTTCCAGTGTGAGTTTCCATCCCTTGGATTGAATCATCCTTCGGCTATGTCAGCAAATGTTTGACTTGTTTCAATGTCATCTGCAGTCAATCAGTTTGGCAGGAAACTTAGTTACTATTACCCGAGTGCCTCCCTTTGGCCAGAAACAAAGACTCAAATCTAATAGCTGGAATTGACTCAGTTAACAGCATTTAAAATAAATCAACCTAAAATAAATTAAAAACTTAAAAGAAAATAATATAATAAAAGAAAAACAAATAGATTAAAACAAAAAAAAGGTTGTCATTCATTTACTGAATTTCCCCCGGTGTGGAATTGAGTAAAGCCTTATCTTATCATGAATGTGTCCTGTGGTCCATGACCCAGATGTTGGCGGCCTCTCCGTGGTCCATGACCCAGATGTTTCTTTAAAACTCTTCTGATCAGATTTCACTTTCTGGTGAGGCTGGGGTTCTGTTGGTCCTGATGCTGTCATCTTTTCTGATTGTGTTCGCTGACAGAAATGTGCGAAACGACCGCGCCACACCTGCAGAGATCGCCTCGTATTACCAACACTACGTGACCCAAATGTCCCTGCAGCAGAACTTTGCCTGTGGGACTATTGTCACCTCTGTTACCAGGCATCACAACACCCAGGATGGCGGTCTGCCCTACTGGAAAGTGACGGGATTGCAGCACAGAGATGGAGAAGAGCTGGGAGGTCAGTCCCATCCTCCCCCAAAACCCCGGGTTTATTTTATAGTTCTTCAGAAGTGTTCTGACTCATGTCTCCTCCATGACTTCTAGATGGCTGCTCTGTTTTGGAGCAGGTGCCGTTTTCAGTCATGGCCCACAATGTGGTGTTGGCAACTGGAACCCATGACATTCCAGCGAGACTGGGTGTGGACGGTGAGTCCTTGCCCTACGTTTGCCACTCATTCTGGGAGCTGGAGATGGCCATCTCCAGGGGCGAGCTGCACCAATCTTCAGATCCAGTGTTGGTGGTGGGGGCAGGATTGACGGCCGCCGATGCAGTGCTGGCTGCTCACCATCTCACCACGCCGGTCTATCACGTCTTCAGACGTTCTGTCACTGACTCGGGCCTCATCTTCAACCAGCTGCCCAAGCTGCTTTATCCAGAGTACCACAAGGTGAGGTGAGCTCCAGACCTGGAGCCGGAGCAGCACTTAGCCAATCATGTGTCCCTGGAGGAAATTAGACTTGTACCATAGAGTTCGACGCAGATCGTCGACGTTCATGTGTTCTGTGAAAGGTTTCAATACCATCGGAAGACTTCACCGCTTTCCTGTTATTTTCCAGGTTCACCAGATGATGACTCAGCAGCAGCACCAACCACCTCCACCACCATCGCAGCTCCCAGACCAGAACCTAAATCATCATTCCACCAACTCTGTTCCATCCACACCCTACTCTGGTTACCTGAGCTTCCCGTGTCACAGGGTAGTGTCCTTTAGACCAGATAAGAAATGTGTTCTGGAGTCAGACTCGGGCCAAAGGACCGTGGTCCAGGTCTCCAAGGCTCTGGTTCTCATTGGTTCCCACCCCAACCTTTCATTTCTGGAAGACAATGGCCGCCAGCTGGGCACTGACCCCGATGAGCCCATCTCCTGTCGACGGAACCCGATTGATGTGGACCCCTTTACAAACCGGGTGGTTTCGACAGACGCGCCGGGCATGTATGCCATGGGGCCCTTGGTGGGTGAGAACTTCGTGAGGTTTCTGAAGGGAGGAGCCCTGGCTATAGCTAGTGACCTGAGCAGATGTCAAAGAATGGGGTTCAGAGGCTCGTCCTCAAACAGATGTGCGGAGGTCACGCTACAAGGGATGATCAGCCCCATGGGCTTGCAATGTTCCCCTCTCTATTCTGACAGTAAACAGACAGGAAATGAACTCTAGAACTGCGCTGTCACTGACGGTGGTGTCCTCTACTGTCAACCTAAGGCAACCTCTAGTTCATCAACTTTGAACACAGATAATTGGGTCAGAGTGAGAGCTTCAACACAGGATGAGGTTCATGGATATCTGTGGCATTTGGTGGACAACCTTGACAGGGCTGGGTGTGGGTAAAACATTTTTTTGGTACTGATACCATAGAGCACTTCTCTCAGATGCATTCTTTTATGGTCTGGGTTGGAACTAATCCATCACAGCAGAACATTCTATCAAGTATAGACCCACTGAACCATGCAGAAAAAGACCGTCACAGTGGTGTCCACAGAAGATTGAAACTCAACAAAGTTCTCTTTCAGATCCAGCTTCACCTTTGCCTCCCCACCCCCAGGGATAAGGAAGCCACAGTGTTAGTTAAATAAAAACAATTACCTAATATTACAATAACATTGAAAACTTTACAATGCAAACTACATAAACTTCCTTGTGTATTTATGAAAAGTGAGGTTCCCCCTGGTGACGAACAGGCAAAATAGCTATTAGCGGTTAACAAACACTTTTTTTTTCCAGTCTCCTGTTTTTTTTTTTTTTTGTTTTCCAGTCTCCTAAGAGATTTGGCCACATTTTGAAATGTTATTCTCTTCAGTGACTAAACCTATTGTGAGTTGATTCTATATCATTAGTGTATACATTCCACTTTGTATGGAAGCAGAATTTGTCTCCAAAGCAATGCAAGCTCCAAAAACATCAAATCTTTTATTGGATTTCTAAATACCAAAAATATGTTTTCCTTATTTAAAAAAAAGTATTTTCTTTGTTCTCGGTATCATGGTTGGCTTTTTATGAGTTATTTATTATAATATAAGTAGAGTACTGAATGTACTCTGGGAACTAGAGATGAACACCTTCTGGGTGTGTGGGGGAGGGATTCTTGTGGAACTGGTGTGGCTGTTACCAACTTGTTGGTAAGAACTGTTCAACCATGTATGGGAGAACTAATGAAGCTGACTGATCCATTCTTACATATACTGATGACATCAGAACCTTAGGATGGGTTCTGATCACAGTGATCACAGTGAAAAGTGACCTATCTCATCTATAAGTGGTGCTGGTGCCTTTAACACACACTCATGCACAGCCTTGGTCTCCAAGATGTGTCTTTCTCAATTTTTTTTTGATGAATGTTGGATTTCTGAGGTTGTGTTTCTGACTGCACATCAGTTTTAACTGTACTGACAGACATCTGTTAATTTCTTATCAAGTCAACTCAGATTTTCATTAAAGGTATTTTTCATCAATAAACATTTCACTGTGTTATTTATCAGACTGTATTGTGTAAGGTAAGTGAAAACCTACCTAGCAATAAAAACGATTCTGATTCTGATCAGACTCGCAGTATAAACTGCCATAATTCTTAAAGAACTGTGGACGTGAAGGTAAATACATCTGGGACCAGACAAAAAAACACGAATAGTCTAAAATATTCTAGTCCTGTTTTTGACTGTGGTGAGTGTAAAACCAAACACACACGTGTTGTATTTTTAAAGTCAAATTAAATTCAAATTTACATGGAAAGTCAATGAGACGCGCAATATCCATCCTTGACGCCACAGGCCTGCAGCATTTTCTATGAATGACCGCCCTCTAGTGGCAGAATAGAGGAAACCCACATACGTATACTTTTCTTCGCAGCTAATATCTGTGCGTAGCAGCAGACAGCGTTTCTGTGTCTGGTTGTGTGGTTAATTTAATTTGAAATGAGTAAATAAATATATCTATGGCACAGATAGTACTTCAAAACTGGACAGAAATATCATATTTTCTGGCGATGGTTGCAGGGTGAAGCCATGGAAGTAGGTCGAAAGCGTTCAGCTGGTTTCATTTTTCATTTTTTTGGAGGTTTGTATGAGAGTGACTTGTTTTACAGTTTGTTTATTTACTTTATATTCCTGGTGTTTTTCTTTAATATTATTTTTTATATAATATTATATTTTGTGATATAAATATATTTTCGTTATAGTTACCTTCATAAATTCTACATTCAATGTTTCATTGAGAAAATCTATCTAAGGATCTCATGAATTTATGGACCTTATCATGAAAGCCAATTTCCTGCCATTACAGTTTTGTTTTGAAATTCTGAAGCGGATGTGCGGACAAGTGGGTATGGTTAGCTTGACCCTTACTGCTCGGGGACACTCGTTCACTCTAGGTCGGTACTCCTGAGAGGAACCGGAGAGGAAACGTCCGGTCACAAGTCACCGCCAAATACCTTGGACACAGAAGACGAACCTTCGCAGGAGTAAAAAGAGAGAATCGTGATTAATATCCAGGAAAAAGATTCATTTGGATTAAAACAACGTTGATTTAAAGCCGGACAGGACTGATTTATTACATTGTGTTTGTGTTCACGCACGCAGACACACGCACACGCAGGTTGAGGCTAACTCGGTAGCGCCGTTAGCCAGCGCGTTAGCCTCTCCACTTATGTTTTTTGAGTCGTGTTTTCTCCTGTCCTAAAACTAAAGTAAAAAACATTTAGAGATCAAGGCGTGCGACATTTTTCAACAGTTTCTGCCTGAGTCATGAGGCGCAGAGTTTGCGGCAGTTTGTGGCGGTGGACGGCAGCGAGCATCGGCTGACACAAACATGGATCAGTTTTTTTCAGTTTTTGATTATTTTTGGTGAAACTTTGACCCTCGACTGTTTTTACCGCCACAACGTCCTCGTCAATTCTCTCGGCAGTCAGTTTGACTGGGTTTTGGCGAAACAGAGACAGTGGAAAAAAGCCTGTAAAAGTTTGGGAAGTCGAGGTTTTTTTTCCCTTTCACAGACTGGAAAAATGGATGCGGGAATAGAGAAGGAATGCAGCGCCCTGGGAGGACTCTTCCAGCTCATCATGAACGACATGAAGGTAAAAACAATCTTCGTCACTATATGTATTTTACTAATCTAAAAATACAGTTTTTGTTAAAGTTCTCTTTTTACAGAATTAAGCGTCACTAATATTGTTACACATTTTCCTCTCTTCTGAAAATATATATTTATTATTTTACACTCTTAATGACGTATTACGACTATATGAGAATATATTCTCGTTATTACAAAACATATTCACTACTGTTTTTGTTAAATGCTGTTCAATCTTTTGGTAAACGGTTATCACATGCACTTTTATCCAATGTTTTCGTTGTAATTCAAATGTTGCTTTTTGACATTATTTTCATGACTGTTCCCACCGACACTGATATCTTGTGTAAACACACAAGCTGTTAAACTTCTTAAAAAGACCTATATTGTACTTAAGTCATTAGATTAAATAAGATTGAACTTTAAACTTAGAGCGAGGTTAAACTGAATCTCAGATAAACAAGCAAATAAGCAAAAAAAAAAAGCCTTTTTTCCCCCTGATCAATATTATGTAATTATTAAACAAACTAAGAATCAAATGTAATAAACTGTATGAAAGAGGTCAAAGTATGACCAAAAGGTGAAACAGGCCGTAATGAGCAGATTAATGGAGAGTCTATGGCACATCCTCTGAAGGTCTTTGAACCCTAGGATGAGGATTGTTTTGTGTTTTGCGTGTATGTGCCTGTGTGTGTACGCGCTTTAGCCCCAGAGCCGTGGACTGGTGGAACCACTCGTACTTAAACCATTAACATCAGAAGATTAGAATGTCAACATGAGTGCCAGCTGCGGCAGAACCAGAACCTACCACTTCATGACTCTGTTTGGTGTCAGGCTGCTGCTGATTGGATCATAAATGAGCGGAGGTTCAAACTGGAACTGGGCTGTGTGTGTGTGTGGTGAGGGGTTGGGGGGTCAGTATGTTGTGTATGTGTATGTGTATGTGCGCTTTGATGTCTGCTAAGCTGGGCTGCCCTTTTACTGTCCGCTAAGGTCTCAGATGTTGGCCCTTATCAGTTCACAGGCTGGAGCAACTGCACTGTACTCAGTCCGGAGTGACTGTACTGCATCTCGGCTGGAGAGAGTGTACCGTACTCAGGCTGTACTTAGGCTGGGGCGGCTACGAAGTACTCCGTACTGTACTCGGTACTGGTACTACATTCAGACTGTATTTACAAAGTGCTTTTGGTTGGATGAACACTTCCTCTTCGGGGCTGTTCTTTGGTGAACATTGTGAACGATTGAAGGATTGTCTGGTTACGCCACATATGATGAGTCAGGCTGTAGCAACACTCTAGTCTTGTGTAAGAGTGGATGAGCGGATTAATCAGGCAGTGCCACTCCCTGGTGTGTGTCCATCAACACAGACCACATCTGTCTTGACAGTGGGTTGATGTTAACCTGTCAGAACAGCCTGCAGGTGGTTCTGGGTGGTGCAGCTCCGTAGACTGTGTCACTGTCACAAGTTCTTAGTGTCCACAGCCAAGTGTGATGAGAACAGAGCAGGTTATCACAGGTGATATTATTACGGTAATAAGTTACTGATCATCACAGTGAAAGGTTATTGATTGTCACAGCCGTAGTTATTGATTGTTACGGTGACACGTTATTGAATTTTAAAGTGATAGGTTATTGATTGTCACAGCTGTAGTTAGTTATTGATTATTATTTGTATTGTTTTTATTGTTGATTTCTTCATTCATGTTTGAGTTGCATGGTCAGTACCACCGGTCAGTGTCTTGTAGAGTTTGTAGAACATTGTGGTGGTCCAGACATTTGATTGATTGATTGGGTCTTGGCTTCATCAGCAGTGACATAATAAAAACCCTGACCTTTCACACTCTCTCTGCTTACATCCATCTCTTCAACAATACACTCCTCCTCGGGCTGACCTTCAGTCTGACCTTCTGCTTCATGAGGATCCGATCTGTGTCTCCATCATAACTGGATTTTCCTTGTTAACTGGTACTTTGAAAAGGAAAGGAAAAGCAGCCGTTGACCTTCAACTCTGTCCCTGCAGTGAATTAGGTTGTTAGATGTGTCAAGTCAAGTCCGTTTTATTTGTATAGCCCAGATTCACAAATCACACACATTTGGTCTCATTGGACTCATTTGACACAATTCTAAATAAAGATTGAAATTAGACTTGACTTAAAATATTCTCCTAAAAACAGGGGGGGAAATTGACCAAAGCAGAACAAGGTTACAGTTACAAACTCACTAAGCGTTTTTAGCAATGGTTGGGGAGAAATAAAAACCCCTTTCAACAGTAAGAAATCTCCACCAAATCCAGTCTCAGTGCTGCCGTCTGTCACATGTGCGCATGTGCGCGTGTATAGTTCAGTAGAACCTGCCTCTACACCATGGAGTATTCTTCTCTTGTACTGTCCTGGATGACCGTGGGTGTGTTTCAGTACCTTTGTACCTAACAGTTATGCAGTGTTGGTGTTAAAATCACTGTTCAAATGTGTTGTGCCGTTACAGAATGTGGTGAATGTGAAGAACCGTCTTCACATTCACACACAGACAGTAAGACTTTACTGTTCTGTGATTACAGTGTTATATGAATATAGTCTATAGAACGGTCTGTTTTTTTTACAGGAATAAGTTTGTTGTTGTAGTTCTGGACTGTGGCAACATGGAAAGAGGAAGAAGACATGAGTCAACAGGTTGTGGATGAGTGTTGTTAATAAAGGGTGTGGATACGCACACACGCACGTATGAAATGTGGAACTGCCGTGCTTTAGTCTGACTCAGCAGATGAAGTAGTGGAGCGGTGCAGTGTTTGTCGAAGGAGTCCGAAAAGGTGATGGGATTTCACTGGGATATCGCAATCATTCTTTTCCATTAAACATTTAAATGAAATATGAAGTAATCTTTTCTACTGGTACGAGTGGACTAACGATGGAGTTGTTCCTTAGGGCCTTGTGTTCTGTCGGGTTTTATTCATGGAAAGGTCTAGGACTGTTGGGAGACGGTCGCTCGTACTGTGTGGAGGATGCTTTTACAGTCGTTCGCGAGACGCACAACAACATAGTGTCACAGTCACCTTTAACTTCACATCAACATCTGTGCTCTGTTTTCTCAGAGCAGGGGTTCCCAAAAAGTTGCCACTAGGCCCAGTTAAAAGGTCGTTTTAACTGGGATTTTTCCAGACTATAAACATTTCCTTTGTTTTAAACCAAAAGCTAACATTATATTTATTAATGAATGTGTATGTATATATATATATATATTTATATATTCAGGATGGCTCAGTTCGATACGCGGGATCGGAATCAGTCGGATATTGGTCATAATTTCAGGGTCGCATATCGGTAAAAACAACTAGTAGTCTGATCCGACACCTAAAATAAATTTTTGGCTAATTCGAATGAAAATGCATAAACGGTTCAGACTGGCTGTACTTCTGACTGACTGGATATTGTCGTAGCTCTTCCTCAGACAGATGATGGCAGCTGTTGTGGTAGCAGCTGTCCTTGGGAACAGGGATTGGACACTAACAGTGGCCTTGGTGACCCCTGAGACTCTGACTGGGAATCCAGTCTTTTGTTTTTTTGCTTTGTCTTTTTAAAAAGTGCAAGGACCGTGGGATTTTCCTGGTCCGTTCCCATTGATTGACTGACTCTGAGTGTGGCTGTGACATTCCTGACACACCCAATGAATTTTTAAGGTTTAGGTGAGAAGTGGTGGAGGAACAAAGAGGACATTGGTGAGCTCCTCCATCTTCTTGACCTCAGTGTCAGTCTGTGGTACTGTTATTTTTACACCAGCGCCAGTCTGGAGAGGGAAGACGTGCACAATTGCTGTCGAGTTTTCAATACATATTAAGTTTAAACTGTGACTTTGTCCCAGTTTTTAAATTTTGTCCCACTGCGAATTTGAGTTTGACACCTCTGTTCTACGCCGTCAGTCTGCGGTACTGTTGTTCTCCACCCGCATTGGTCTGTGGTACTGTTATTCTACACTAGCTTTAGTCTGTGGTACTGTTATTCTACACTAGCTTTAGTCTGTGGTACTGTTATTCTACACTAGCTTTAGTCTGTGGTACTGTTATTCTACACTAGCTTTAGTCTGTGGTACTGTTATTCTACACTAGCTTTAGTCTGTGGTACTGTTATTCTACACTAGCTTTAGTCTGTGGTACTGTTATTCTACACTAGCTTTAGTCTGTGGTACTGTTATTCTACACTAGCTTTAGTCTGTGGGACTGTTATTCTACACCAATGTCAGTCTGCGGTACTGTTATTTTACACCAGTTCCAGTCTATGGTACCACAGCGTTAGTCTGTGGTACTGTTTTTCAACACTAGGATTAGTCAGTGCTACTGTTACTCTACGCCAATGTCAGTCTGTGGGACTGTTATTCTACACCAATGTCAGTCTGTGGTACTGTTATTCTACACTAGCTTTAGTCTGTGGGACTGTTATTCTACACCGCCGTCAGTCTGTGGTATTGTTGTTCTACTACAGTGTCATTCTTACTCCCCTTCTTATTCTTCTTCTTCTTCTTCTTCTTCAGACCAGTTATCCTACATGGGAGGACTTTTTAACCAAAGGAGTGAAGCTACTTCTTCAGCTCAGGTGAGACACACACACACGCACACACACACACTGTGTTCACAGTCACAGTCTGTGTATAAGTGCATGCATATGTTGCTATAGAAACATAGCGCTGGCTGGTGAAGGAACATGTGTGGACAATATATCCATTGATTCTGAGTGTGTGTGTGTGTGTGTGTGAAAGCACAGGTGTCCAGTTCCCTCCTAACACTGACCTCTCAGTTCACAATACCAGTTACTTTATGTTGTCACTTCCTGCTCTCAAACTTTGGTCCCAACCACCAATCACCTGTGCTGTCTCTTCTTTTCAGGGTTTCTGCAAGTCATTGAAAAGCACTAGAAGTCATTGAATTTTAAAATTCAATTAGTGTTAAGTCCCAACCACCAATCACCTGTGCTGTCTCTTCTTTTCAGGGTTTCTGCAAGTCATTGAAAAGCACTAAAATTGAATAAATTATTGAATAAATTAAATTAGTATTAAATTAACTTTAAATTCAATTCCCAACATATATATTTCCATTCCTGTCGTTTTTTTTATAATTATTTATTTCATATTTTTAAATGGCTGTTTTTATTTACTTACACCGAACTTCTCAGTAACTTTTCCCCCGATCTCTCCTCCTGCTCTCTCTCTCGCTCCCCACTCTTTCTCTCTCTATCTGACCACAGCTTTTTTTTCTTCCTCTCTCATACCTGTGAACAGTGAACCCCTGCACGACAACATGAGTAAAACATGACTATTACACTGGAGCTAAATGCGGTAATCGCCCTGAAGGATCAAAATTTCCAGGTCTTTTTCTTGTTGTGCTGATCACATGACAACATGTATGTGTCAGTTTAGAAAATACTCGACCCCCTTCTGAAAAAAAAGTTAATTCGCTGTGATGTAGCGGCAGTGTTGTGCCATCTCTATTAGAGTACTACTCTACTGTTTTTTTTTTAGTATAGTTGGCTAGCGTTGGCCGCCAACTATACTCAACAAGGCTGGTATCGACTGGTATCGGGCCTGATACCGATAACTGGAATTGGAACTGGCGCATCCCTAGTAAATAATTTAGATTCTCAAAAATCTTAATTCTATCATTATCAAATAAAATGCTCGCAATTTACAATAATTCAGAGTTGAATATGTATATTTTATTTGTGTGTATGTGTATATAGCAGAGGGGGGACCAAGTCATTGCTTTTTTGCAAGTCACAAGTAAGTCTCAAGTCTTTGCACTCAAGTCCGAGTCAAGTCTCAAGTCAAGACAGGCAAAGTCTGAGTCGAGTCCAAGTCAAGACTGAAAAGTGCCAAGTCAAGTCCCAAGTCCTTTCTAGTCCTTTTCAAACAAACTAACGATATATTTACACAGATCACTTTGGGTTTTAGAGAAAGTCTCGAGTCATGTCGAGTCAAAGGGCTCGAGTCCAAGTGAAGTCACGAGTCACTGATGTTAAAGTCCAAGTCGAGTGGCAAGTCTCTTTACATTTTGTCAAGTCGAGGCTAAAGTCATCAAATTGATGACTCGAGTCAGACTCGTGACCAAGTGAAGCGACTCGAGTTCCACACCTCTGGTATATAGGTAGTATTAGTATTACATTTTTGGAATGGCATTACAAAAGCAATCAATTAGGTTTGCCCCCTACCTGCAGAAAGCCTGCGTTCAGTTCCAAACTCACATCTCTCTGCAGTCAGCACCAGGAACGAGTAGAAGGCCACCAGAACCAACCACAGTGTAGTCTGACTCCCTACTTCCTACTCGCTGCGTAGGGCAGTTTATGCGGTGCATTGTGGGATATATTGAGGTGTCACAGCCTGACGACATGGAGTCAACCAGAGAATGGACGTCTGATCAGTTCTTTTTTCTGTGTCCTTCAGAACTACCATTGGGGTCACAGGAGCTTTTCTGGATGCTTTTCAGAAGGTGGCAGACATGGCTTTTGGAACCAGAGGTGAACGCACTCATTAACAAACGCACACACACACGTACTTGTTGTATAGTAAAGCTAACTCTTAAGTTGACGATTCAATTCTTTTGTGAATGAATTTCGGGGGTTATTTCTCAGGAAACCTTTAAGCATCGTTTGCGGCTAATGTTTATGCCCGTGCTTTAGTTTTGTAAGATGTGACTTAGAAACACGCAATAACTATTTTGTTGTAAATGACGGTACGGTGTCTTTGTTAAACTGTAATATGGGTAATCTTTAGCTTCTTTAATTACATACAGAATTTGGTTGAATTTTGCTAGTTTTTGCTGCTTTTACTTATGCCGCACTAGCTTAGCAGTGCTATTACACTGAAATAGAGAGCAGAATCCAAATGTGACTCTCTATCAAATTCATGCAAAAACCTAAATCAGTTCTAACATGAGCTACAGTGGGTCTACAGCAGGCTCTGACTGGACTACAGTCGCTGAGTGGGTGACACAACCATCTTGAGTGAATGTTGTCTAAATAGCATGTACCAGCTTTGTGAACACATAGTGTTTCCTAAAAACACTAGGCAAAAAATGTACCTTGAAGGAAGCACTTTTTCGAAACAAACGTACGTATGTCACCTTTGACCTATTAATGTTTTAAAAGAACCAATCCTCATGACTGAGGAACTGTAGACATCATCATCATCATGGTCATGTGACACACACACACACAAACACAGATCATGGGACCGTTGACGCAGTGCTGACTGTTTCTTTCTCATCTTAAAGGTTTGTGATTAGTTAGTTTTCGTCAACTTCAATGACACAAAGTGGTCACTATGAGTGTGGGCTGGGCTAGTTGCTAGGGTTGGTACTGTTGTTGAACATATTGACGTTGAGTCATTGGTAGATTATTAATAAAACATTAACCTCGGCAGAACATTTTAATGACGGTAAGAAAAAAAGAAAGAATGAAAAGAAATTCACGGAACCATAGTGGAATTGTTGTTTTTACGCTGAAAAAAAAAAAAACAGGATTAGGGAGTTAGGAATTATAGGTGTCTGCCAAACTCCGAGTCTATCCATTGAACAGGCTTGTGCCAGAAACAGTGGAGAGTTCCAGGAACTGTTTACACTATCACAGTACCTGGTGCTAGGATGTGAAAGTCCACAAGCGCCACAAACTAAGTCTATCAGTACGTCTTCAGTGTGTCTTCCAACCAAAGTACGTCATTTGAGGATCTGCACCCAGTAACCTTGTACCATGCCTGGTACTGTTAGCTTTGCAGAATCGATTATATTATTATAAAATCGATTGTTTAAAGACAGTTAAAAGATCTGCAGGACCAAATGTGAGAACGAAAAAAAAAAAGTTCCTCCCACAGAGGAACTGTCTGATCTTGTCAGGTCACATTCTTCTCTCAGCTCATTTTGAGTCTGCTCTGAGATCCATTAGACGTGTCTGAACACAATCTAAAGCTCGCAGCATTAGCGGTAGCTAGCTGCAGCGCGACACACCTACATACATGTCTGTGTTGTGCCACATCTTCACAGCAGTTTTGGGGAGGGAAAAAAATCACAGCCTAGATTTTGAATATAGGGTAAAGACCAAGAACGACTTCAGTCTCCCAGACTCAGATTTTTTTTAAACAATTCTTTCTAGTGTCAAAAACCACAAGAGACAAATACAGAAAACACACCTCAGCTTAATGATTAACTCAGACGTGTGTGTGTGTACATACATGCGCGTTGCTCCAGGATGGAGCAAGAAAGGTAAAGAGGGAAGAGAGAGGAGGGGGAGGATGAGAAGGACAGTCAGAGGACAGTGAGTGAAAGTTGATCTCGCTGTTCTCAAACCACGGTGGGGGCTGGGATCTCAAACATGCTCTCTTCTAACGGAAGCACGTGGAAGCTGTGATTTTTTTTTTTTTTTTAAACCATAAACAATTAAAAATGGCGTTAATTCACATGAACCGTTCTCCATCTGACAAAAGGACAAATGATCCAGACTGAGGGGAGAGACAGTGATGGACTACGGTGGTCCCGAGTCTGTGTCCATCACTGTCTCTGAGCTCTGGTCAGACAGACCACCTTCTTCTCACGCTCACTGAATGTGAAGTGTTTAGTGACCAGGTGTACCGGTGTCCCTGCGATTGACAGCTGGATCATCCAATGAGAGCCTCGTAAGTGTCAGCAGTGTTCACTGTTGACCGCCATTGTCTCCTGTCTCCGATTAGACCACCAGTCCAACCACAGAGGAAAGATCAGACTAGTTTGACCTGTGAAGGGTGCCCCCCCGCTGTCAGTGGATAGTAACTTCAGACCGACTGATCCAACTGTGATGTGTTTTTAGCAGTCTGAGACTTAACTCCTCGCACGTCCATCTTTAATCGTCTTATTTATCCGTCTTTCAGGAGCCACCAAGGAGATTGGCTCAGCTCTGACCAGGATGTGTATGAGACACCGCAGCATCGAGTCCAAACTCAAGCTTTTCACCACGTAAGAGAGGCACAGTCAGTCACTTCTGTTGTTGTTGTTCCTTCTTTCACCTGTGACGTCAGCATTCACATAGACTTTCCTTTTCCTCCTCCTCCTCCTCCTCCTCCTCCATAGAGCTCTGTCAGAGAGTCTCCTCACTCCTCTGGAGGTGAAGATGGAGGAGTGGAAGAAGGTAGCCAGTCAGCTGGACAAAGACCACGCCAAAGGTACGATTGCAACATTTCACCACACGCACACACCTGCGTTAAGACGTACCTCTCTGATCCTGTGTGTGTTTGTCGTGTGATCAGAGTATAAGAAGGCCAGAGCGGACATCAAGAAGAAGTCCTCAGACACCATCAAACTGCAGAAGAAAGTGAAGAAAGGTAAGAAGAACCAAGGTTTTCCTCCAATGGTTTATTGGTTCACATCATCCACAGGTGGTTATCGTTGACCTCCACACACACCCACACACACCCTGGACGCACCCTCGGGCTCTGATTTCACTCCAACATCTCTGAACATGTTCTGCTTCGGGGTTTTTTTTCCCCCCCGCTCTGGTTCTTTAACATTTTGTTATTTTAGAAATTCACACATGGCCGTGACTGCTACTGCAGTATCATCTACTCTGCTCTGTTCATATACTGCTCAGTGTCAAAAGTATTTTGGAGGACCATGTATGTGTCTTTTAGTCTTCTAGTCGCAGACTCTCTCAAACCAGATGTCAGCTGGTTTTGTTCTTCTACCAGACTACCAGTTAAAGGTCCAGAGTCCTGACTGCAGTTCATCATGGTCATCGTAGGAAAATTAAAATTGGGTTTTTTTTAAAATCCACGGTTTCTCAAGAGTTATAGCTTCCAACATGACGTAAAAGTAAAAAAAAAAGTTTAGTTTTCAAACTGTTGACCTGGTCCTTCATCTGAGATGGAGACAAAGACGATGAGAAACATCTTCTGTGGACACATAATCCAGGTCCAAAATAAAGAAGACCTCTGACCATGGTCATCTAAACTGCAATATCAGTCATTTTAGAAACAGAAGAAACAGAGGCTGTAGACGTTTTCGAACCACAGACTGGGAGGAAGAAGAGGAATAAGAAGAAGAAAAGGAAGAAGACAAACAGGAGGAGGAGGAGGAGGAGGAAGAAGAATAAGCTGTTATGATCAAAATCAAACTAAGTCATCGTCAGTGGGGGAGGGTTAGAGTACTTAACGCGAGTTAAGACGGTGAAATTATATAATTTGGTTTACAGGGTTTTTTTTTTAACATGTTGTCATGTTTCAACCTGCCTGTTCGAACGAACCTGTCTGACTGAGATGATGCACTGAAACAAAAATCATCAGGAGAAAAAGAGAATGTCAGTGAAGAGAGGGAGAAGAACCGGACGGACTGGATGAGGGTGAATACAGGCGGTCTTCATTATCATCATCATCATCATCATCGTCATTATCGTCACCATCAGCATTACCGTTATCAGCTTCATGATCAAGATCTTAATCATCAGTAATGATATCATCATTAACATTAGCATCATGATGTCATGATCTTCATCATTTTCATCATCGCCATTAGGGACGTGTTGATGCATTGTGAAGTGAAAAATGAATTATGTATTAAGGAGAGGGCTAAGTTATTTCAAAAAGTCACTGGTCATACCATGAGACTACACACTCCAGTACTGGACACCCCTAAAAAAAATGTTGGTTGTGACCTGCTATTAAACCAACACAATGCATCCCTATGTAGCTTAAGGGACGTTCGGGTGTTCAAACAGAACGTGGGAAGAACTTCTCTCACAGACACAAACGGGGGGTTTTACAGTGTCACTGTAAAGACACGAACTCTTGTCGGTTAATATTTATTTATATTCTTTTGTTGTTTAATATATTGACAGTTTGGTGAGAAAAATCGTAATAAAATTGCATTGTGAACAAAAGAAAAAAAAAATCACAAATCCTATCATATCATGAGTTCAGTGTATTTACATCCCTAATCATCATCATCATTTACAGGGCGAGCAGAGCAGGTGCCGATCCCTGGCTTTTCTCAGACTGAGGCTAGCAGTTAGCTCTGTGTGTGTGGGTGGGTGCGTGCGTGCATGCGTTTGTGCGCGGAATGTCACCAGACTGGTTCAAGGATGGAGACCATGCAGGTTTTTGAGGAGCAGAGATTTCATAGAACAGTGTTTCCACACACACACACAAACTCTGAATCTTTGTTCACCTTTTTTTTTTTTTAAATCCTATGTTTACATTTACCTTGGTGACACAAACTGATGGTTATTTTGATCACTGCTGCCATCTAGTGACCGGAGGCTTGTTTATCCTTCACGCATTACAGCAGCGGCACACTTCTTGTCCAGTGTGCCACATATTTCATTGGAAGCCTCTCAAGCCCAACCTCACTGTATTTGCCCCAGGCAGTTGACCATGCCCCACCAGGGGGCGCCATCCCACTATTTGAGAAGTACTGATTTAGACCATGTCAGAGCACTGACCGACTTCAGATGAAGTAAAAAAAAAAATTTATATATTTTGTAGTTTTCTCTTAAGTATTTCAATCAAGAGGCCAAAGGTCATGTTTCCTTTCTGTAACCTTTAACCAAATGACGAGTGAAAATCACTTCCTCTTCTCTCTCTCTCTTTGTCTCGTTTGTCCGCAGGCAAAGACGAAGCTCGGGGTCAGCTGGACAACGCTCTGCAGGACGTCAACGTACGATACGTGGTGCTCGAGGAGACGGAGAAGAGAGCTGTGTGTAGAGCGCTCATAGAGGAGAGGTCGCGCTACTGCAGCTTTGTCAGCATGCTGAAGCCCGTGCTGGTCAGTCACATTTGTCTGTGTGTGTTTGTGTTTGTGTGTACACACATCTACTGTCTAACAGGAAACGTACTCGAGAATCAGTAAAACCCCGAATGAATCACTACTCTCCGTGTGTCTCCGTGTGTCTCCTAAGGACCATGAGATCAACATGCTGGGCGAGGTGACCCACCTCCAGACCATCCTAGAGGATCTGATGAACCTGACAGCTGAGCCCAACAAACTCCCACCGGCTAGTGAACAGGTACAGCCCTGACCTTTGACCCGGATTATTCCCGCTGAAGTATTAGAGCAGATGTTTAGTACTTGAACAGATCTCTTGAGTCATCTTAGTTTGTCTTGATTAGTGACATCTGGTGTTGGGTCTGTAGACTGGAACAAATGCGGGACTCCTCCACCCCCCCCCCCCCCCCCCCCGNCTTTAGTGAGTCAGGAGATGATATGGTCCAGACACAGACTTACTCCAGGGGTTTGTCTTCTTCTTTCTCAGGTGATCTCTGACTTGAAAAGTTCTGATTTTAGCTACAGCTACCAGACACCGCCAGCCTCCCCAAGCAACACACTGTCCAGGAAAAGCAGCATCAGCAGGTTACACACACACACAGACACACAGAGTCTCTAATGTATTTTCTGTCACAACTGCAGTTTTTGATAAATGTAAACAAAATGGATTTTAGTCCATGGTGCGTTTTAGGGTCGAATGTTGAAGGTCAACTGTTGACCCTTTGTTTGTTTGTGTGTGTGTGTGCGCAGTAATTATCAGTCTGGATCAGTGAGACATGGACCGTCTCTGGACTCTATCAGTTCTACTGTGGATGGAGTCCAGCTGCAGGTGAAACGCACAAAAACATTTCATTCTCTCCTGTCTGACACTGCTCATTTTCTCCCCTTTTCCTTTGTACTGGCTTTGATTAAAGTGTTTTTAAGTGTGATGAAAAGTGGGCCGTGGATGTACGTTGTGTGTAAAAATACACTTACGTTACACACTACAGGACGCACTTGGCACCGCCCACAAATCCGCCGCAGGAAACAGAGCAGAGAATGGACTGTTAACCCTGCCCCCAAACACTTACTCTGGCCACGGAGAGAGAACAAGAGCCATGTCAGCGTCTGGGAAGGTACACACATGTACACACACACATACACAAAAGCAAAAGTCATTTCAGAAAAACGAACCTTAAGACGTACTTGTTCTGTTGCAACACTGTCAGTGTTTTTGATCCTGAAAACTGAAATTCCCATTTATGTTCAAACATGAATTTTCCTCCATCTGTCCCACCTGTCTGTCTCTGCCCATGTCCTACCTGTCTCTCTCTCTCTCCCTGTCTCTCTCCGTCTCTCTCCTTTCTCTCTATCCTACCTGTCTCTCTCTCTCCCTCCCTCTCTCTGTCTCTCTCCTTTCTCTCTATCTTACCTGTCTGTCTTTGTCCCCCTTGGCCCTGTTCTGCCTGTCTGTCTCTTTCCTACTTGTCTGTCTCTGTCTTACCTGTCTGTCTATGGCTCTTTGTCTCTGTCCTACCTATCTGCCCCTTTTCTACCTGTTTGTCTCTGTCTCTCTGTGCTACCTGTCTGTCTCTGCCCATGTCCTACCTGTCTTTCCCTCTCCCTGTCTCTCCCTGTCTCTCTCCTTTCTCTCTATCTTACCTGTCTGTCTTTGTCCCCCTTGGCCCTGTTCTGCCTGTCTGTCTCTTTCCTACTTGTCTGTCTCCGTCTCTCTGTCTTACCTGTCTGTCTATGGCTCTTTGTCTGTGTCCTGCCTGTCTCTCTCTTTGTCTCTGTTCTACCTATCTGCCCCTTTTCTACCTGTTTGTCTCTGTCTCTCTGTCCTACCTGTCTGTCTCTGCCCATGTCCTACCTGTCTTTCCCTCTCCCTGTCTCTCCCTGTCTCTCTCCTTTCTCTCTATCTTACCTGTCTGTCTCTGTCCCCTTTGGCCCTGTTCTGCCTGTCTGTCTCTTTCCTACTTGTCTGTCTCTGTCTTACCTGTCTGTCTATGGCTCTCTGTCTCTGTCCTACCTGTCTCTCTCTTTGCCTCTGTTCTACCTGTCTCTCTCCTTTCTCTCTATCTTACCTGTCTGTCTCTGTCCCCTTTGGCCCTGTTCTGCCTGTCTGTCTCTTTCCTACTTGTCTATTTTTGTCTCTCTGCCCCATCCAACCTGTCTGTCTCCGTCTCTCTGTCTTACCTGTCTGTCTATGGCTCTCTGTCTCTGTCCTACCTGTCTCTCTCTTTGCCTCTGTTCTACCTGTCTGTCTATGGCTCTCTGTCTCTGTCTGTCTGTCTCTGTCCCCCTTGGCCCTGTTCTGCCTGTCTGTCTCTTTCCTACTTGTCTATTTTTGTCTCTCTGCCCCATCCAACCTGTCTGTCTCCGTCTCTCTGTCTTACCTGTCTGTCTATGGCTCTTTGTCTCTGTCCTACCTGTCTCTCTCTTTGCCTCTGTTTTACCTGTTTGTCTCTCTGTCTGTCTCTCTGTCCCAACTGTCTGTGTCTCAGTCCTGCTCAGCTCGAGATCACTTGTCTCTGACTCTGGGGGGTTTGCATCCTGAGGCTCAGAGGAGCAGAGACTCCCTTCACTGTTCTAGTGGATACAGCACACAGACAACCACGCCCTCCTGCTCTGAGGACACCATTCACACACACGGTGAGTGGAACTGCATGTGTCCACGCGCACACACACTCACCCGCTGGTTGTAATGCTGTGAACCAGTCTTTCTCGGTTAAAGTGAACTGTCGAGTGTTGACTGGCTGTTTAACTTGTCGTCATCTAACTGTCATGTCTTACTGTTCTCCTCTGACCCGTCTCTCCCTTTGTCTGTCTGTGTCCTCTCCTGTCTTCTTGTTTCAAAAACGCATTCTTCTTCTTCAGCTGAGAAGAGAGCCCTCCATGGTAGGTCTCTGTCTCACGCCCTTCCCTGACCCCTCTGCCCCCC